AAGATACAGATATAGAGACCCCAGTTCCATCTGCTATAGCGCCAGCGTCAGCGCTACCCTTGCCAAGTAGCCCTATCCCACAGGCCAGAGATGAGGATGCCCGACTACTCGCCTTCATTCAGGCTCGAATCCGTGCTCGGCCTGCGCGTCGTGCTGTATTTAACCGTGCACAGGACCTGCTGATAAGTGCTGGCGTGGGTTTTTCGGATTTGGCTAGTTTGAGCAACGAAGAATGGAAGGATATTAGTATTGACGTTAGTATCAAGATGGATTTGCTAAAAAACGACAAAATATGGCATCTACAGCATCCGGAGGCCGTTAACGAGGTTACAGAGCATCTCCTGAGTGAGCTTGATTTTAATATACCTGAGGAGAGCAGAGGCGAGGAGCTCTAAGCTCGTAGATAAAGGATAGTTGGCGTTAAGGAGTATGTATAGACGTTGAGTAATATATTAAGTTTATATGTATTATCATTTATTTTGTATAGGAATACACAAAAATTTAATTACTAGAGTGTATTTAAGTTACTAGCGCATATATAAGCTCACAGAATTTAATTCTAAAATTTTGCTTAAACAGGAAATCTGTGCTAAGACTTAGGCTTAGCAGGATATTATAACTCAATATTATAAATTCTATTAAGATAGTAGTTTACTTTTTAATAATTATAGCTTAATTATAGCAGCTATTACTACTTCTATATTATTAATCAATAACTCTTTATCCGTACTATCTCTCTATAGCTTTATAGCGCCTCAAGCGTATTATAAGGCATATCAATAGTGGTTTTGTTAACGCAAAAATGACAATAGCAAAAATAATTCTTTGTATACTTCTCAACGCTACAGAGCTGCACAGCAAGATAGAAAAAGCCCTTATACTAGTCAGAAAACTGCCCTGCAAGCTCTCTATTCCGTCTCATCTATGCTTTTAACAGAGAAAACAAGAATTCAATAGGGTTAAAGTCAGGAGAGTAAGGAGATAAATATATTAATTAAACGCCTGTCTCTCGGCATATATCTCTTAGCTCCTATATACAAATATTAGTATTAATAGTAAATATAGCATTAAGAGCTTACTTAATTATGATAAGCGCTATAGTTATTTATAATCAGCACTGACTGTGGCCCAGAATACAGAAGCTGCCGTGGTATATCTCATAGTCGAGATAGCCGTTAATCCCTATAGCTGGCAAGATGCTCCATCTCCTTGAGCGCCCGTTTGGTACTATTACTCTGCACAGTACGCCGCGTAGAGACCAACCTCTTTTACGGTCTTTTGTGCGCTCATGCGCAGCCGATTCGTCGACGAATATAGCCTCCTCAGCACGAACTTCGCATATCTGAGCTCTATAGTAGTCTCGCAAGTCTTCATCTCGCTTAGCAGCTTGACGCTCAATCTACAAAGTAAGTCCGAATTTGTGCGAATTAGAGTGATACAGTACTAACAGCTTTCTGTGTAATCTTCTCCTTTGCCAGCGTTCGACAGACAGTTGATTTCGATACTTCTATATCATACTCCTCATCTAGAAAC